ATCCATCCATCCATCCATCCATCCATCCATCCATCCATCCATCCATCCATCCATCCATCCATCCATCCATCCATCCATCCATCCATCTTTCTCCAGCAGTCCATGTTTGAAGGGGAACGCTGATATGTTTATGTCTTTAAACACTGGATTTATTTATGGATTCTGTCTCTTTTGTCTCTAACAGAGTTCCTGGAGTTCATGAAAGGTGTTGAGTAAAGAAGAGCTCCAGAGGGTCCTTTCCTTCACAACCTCTCATTTTGAAATGTCATCAAAGTTCATTCCTGAAGACAAGTTCCCACCTTTTCTTTACATCAATGTTAATTTCTGATTGCAGTATTAAATCAAAGTTTAACATGAAAAAAAAAATATTTTCAATAAAACATATGATCGTTCAATTTGTCTGTCATATTGATATAGAGTTAAACACCAATATATGGTGTTTAATGCTATAATGCTAGTTTTTGAGGCTTTGTGTACTGAAGGTTGTTTCCATTGATCCCAAGATTTTGAAGACAGTTGCAAATATTTTATTTATATACTCACTAAGGATCTGGCCATCCAATTACCTATTTATTTAAATCAAGTGTTTAAGTCCTGAAAAACGGGGAAAATGTAAATTTATGAAACAACCTCAAAGTAGGAATTACCTTCAGGATTGTTTCACAAATACAATAAATATGCTTTGGGTGTAAGGTTTTTCAAATGGACAGACATGTTGACAGATTTAGATTTCCAAATATAGAGCATAGAATAAAGAAGATCAGGTTCATAGTCATATAAATAGAACAGAAAAAGTATTACAACTTTTTACAGAGAATAAAAACATTGGTAGATATTAAAATATACAATAACAACAATATGAAACGACATCAAACAATGTTCCTAAATGCTGCCATCTTTGTTTTATTTGCAAGAAGAAAGTATCAGCGGGGGACCCCTTCTTGTTAATCAAGCTAACAACAAGGATTAATATTTATTTGATGATCATAGTTGCATAATATTTAATCCGAAATCATCCCATCTACTTATTTTAACATCTGACTGATTTAAAAGAACGCAGATGTATCTTCTTTTTCTTGCATTTATTATCTCCAACGACCTGTATGCAGTTTGCATTGCTTTGCATTGCAAAAGCCCCACATCCAGGAAACTGCTGGTAACAATCCTGCAGCAGAAAGAACAGTGTTCCAGAAAATCTGAAAGTTTGAGCTGGAAGGTTCAGATGTAATGAAAAAAAAAAAAAAAAAAAAAAACCTTCATGGTGTTTAAGGGAGTCTGGCCAGCTACTGGAAAGGGTGGCGTTCCATGCCAGCAAGAAGCCTGTTTAACAGTATCAAACAGCTGAGATAACAGTATCTGCATGCACAGTAGGATGGAAACTGCAAAGTCAGGAAAAATATTTTGCATAACCTGAGAATGTACAAGAAGTACAAAGAGGAACATAGGGCACTCTAAAGGTATTTCTGAATGTTTGGGACATCTATAAAATCCTTTTCTCAGAAAAATAAAAGACGAGAACCAACACACCACTGGTGTTTTTTGCCAACTTACCCATGATCATAAACAAACTGCGATAGATTAATTAGGGGTAGAGCTTATTCAATTTCCTGTCAAAATTATACTACTTACATAGCCTACTACTACTTAGATATGTACCGTGTACGTTGAAGTGTGATTAGAATCACTTTTACAGCCTCATCCACCCTTATTAGCATGTACTATAAAAATGTGTAAAAACAAAAGATAAAATCTCCAAACACAATCATGGGCACCTCCGCTGTTAATACTTTACTGCAACCCCTTTTACCAAAATAACTTCTTTTAATATTTATAACATTTCATAAGGTTGGTATATACAGCAAAATCTTCAAAGATCACAGATCTTTGATTATTTCTCTTTGTGGTATTTATAAATCATAGATCCTCTTTATCATCCTCTTTAACGCTCTCCTTTGTTTAAATCTGCTAAAATGTTTTCATCAGGATTTCAATTAAGGGACTGAGATAAATACAGAAAAGGCTTGATTTTGTGCCTTTAATACTATTTGAGATCATATTACCAGAAATTTAAAAAGATCTTCATATAAATAATGAAATACCAATTGAAAACCCATATTCATGTGTGTATATATGTATATATATGTTGTATATATATATATATATATATATATATATATATATATATATATATATATATATATATAGATAGATAGATAGATAGATAGATAGATAGATAGATAGATAGATAAATAAGTCACATTTATATATATATATATATATATACATATTTTGTATTTTTTTTATTATAGGTATATGCCATGTTTTTAACTATTCAGTAAAAAGAGTCTCTGAGACCCGGAAGTGAACTGTGGAGCCAACTGGAAGTTCTTTCATTTTACCTCAACACCGAAATTTCTTTCCCCTGTGCTATCGATAGGTGGACCAAAACAACTACACAGCCTTTTTGTCCTGTACCGAGTGATGCTGTTTGCCCACCAGTCGGCTTTAAAGCTATGATTAGAGGGGTTTCATTAAACTGATGCGCAGCTGTTAAACGGCTCTGAGTGTTTTTTTATGTTAGCAGAAGCTAAGCTGCTAACAGCTCAGGAGCAGCTAGCTTGATGTTGTTTATCCACCGGACTCCTGCTGCCTAACGATCATCTGGATCATCCAAAAACACTTCAGGTAAAGTAAAACTGTCCTCTGCGGTATATATACCGTTAGACAGTTGGTTTTATCGTCTAAAGTTATTTTATTTAACGCTGTCAGTTAAAAGAAAGGAACTGTTGTCGTTAGCAGTCAGAACAAACAGCCACAGCCCTACATGTGTCTTTAGCTTACAGGTTCAATGTAGCTAACTACCTTCATTTTCCCCCACCTCTTCTGTTACATACTATAGCTACTATCTACACAGATGTCCATTATCATCCAAAATTACTTGTATTCGACTTAAAACATTGTATATAAACAAGATGACAGTTGAAGCATTTCTTGTCACCATAATTAGCATCTTTACTTCCCACTGAAATCGTTTTATAATTATGTTGTCTCTCGGAAATGTGTAACAAAAGCGCTTAATATTTGTTACTTGATTTAAAACTTTGATTTCTCATGATATTCGTCTTATTCCTTGCATAAAATGCGTATTAGGGGGTAACTAGGTGTAGTAACCTGGTTGCATAAGTTCTTTCTTAAATCGTGATTGATTTTCTGATCCATTCTTCTTTGGATGGAGGGATCAGCCTCCTATGTCTGTATTTTATTATGAAATCTATTGCTAGCCTGCGTTGTCTTGCAAACGTCACAGTATATCAGAATGCCACAGCCCCCCTCAGGTTATCATACAGATTTAGAATTTATTGAATTATCTTTCAGATTTGCTGTAGTTATGGACTAATGTCAGGGTATTTGCAAGATGCCTTTCATCCAGGATGTGTGGAGTCTACAGATATGACATATATTCTCCTGAACCTGACATTGACATTACACCAGCAGCAGGATTGGTCTGCCTACTTAGAAATGCAACCAGCATGATAGATTTAGCTTGATATAGTGACAAAGGACGTTAGCTGAGGTATTTAAACAGGCATTTTCCCTTATCAGCAAACTAAATTTCCATAGCTGTATATTATTTATTCTCCAGTTGCAGTTTTTTTTATATTGTTAAAACACTTTACAGTACAGTATTTTATTGTTTATTTTTTAACTCTTCACTATTACGTTATTCTTAAAAATCTTTCTAAGGTCCACATTTGTGTGACAATTTTTTTTCTATAGTCTTTATGCTGCTCTAAACACCAGAATTTCCCCTTTGTGGGAAAAAAAGGGATTTTCTATTCTATTCTAAAACATAAGGCAAAGAAAATAGGTAATTAAGTCAGTCTAGTTATTTTAGAGCAGCAGTGGAAAATGTGACGCTGATGCCAATGCTTTCTACTAGTGAATAGTAGAAGTATAATAAGGTTCTATATGAATATTTGCAGCCCAAGAAACAGCACCTTGGATGCAATGTATTGCCACATGGGCTTACAGGGTTTCTGCAGGTAATAAAAAATCATTAAAAGTCATTAAATTATTATTTTTTAAATTAAGGCCTTAATTGGCATTAAAATTCAATACATTTGATAATCGTGGCATTAAAATGCTTCGGAAAAGAAGCTTGAGGTGGAGAAAAGGCTAGAGAATGGGGAAAAAAATGCAAATTTGAACCAAAGTGGCGGGAAAACAAGGAACTGGACATGGTTGAAGCCTGTCCACGGTGAAAATGGTGAAGGATTTTGCCCTATATATATATATATATATATATATATATATATATATATATATATATATATATATATAAAGTCATGGGTATTTGCTGATGGCATTAAGATTATTTCTAAGAGCATTAAAAAGCATTAAATAAGAGTTACTCATTCATGTATAAACCCTGTTATAAGTAACTAAGGAAGGCAAGCTTTTTACAAACTACACATAAGTAAACAATGTAATTATGACAGGAAGGAAAACAAAACTTTTTTTTTTTATCTTGGTACAAATGGACAAGCTGTGGTTCTTGGTGATTACTCTCATGTTCAGCCACCCACAGCGGGCCTTTCGAACTTTTACCTTTCACAAGAATCCTCTTAGTCT